GAGGAGGAGGAGGAGGAGGAGGAGGAGGAGAGGAGGAGGAGGAGGAGGAGGAGGAGGAGGAGGAGGAGGAGGAGGAGGAGGAGGAGGAGGAGGATCTCGCCGCCCCGCGTCCGTGAGCTCGTACTCCGCCGCGAACTTCCAGGGCCTGCCCGCGAGGAGGCGGTCGTTGAACCAGGGCCCCTCCCAGCCGCGGACGGAGCGGCACACGGCGGCGGCAAAGTTCATGCCGTCGCTCTGGCCCGGGAGCGTCCTGTAGGGGGCCACATGCGAACCCTACCCCTACCCCCCACGATTTCTGAGGGGGAGGGTGGGGGTCACTCCCCCTCCCCCTCGGAAATCGTGCGGGGTAGGGGTAGGGTTCGCATGTGGCCCTCTATCCTGTACTTGAGGCAGCCGGCGATGATCTCGTCGACGTAGCTCTGCAGGATGGGCGAGTCGTCCGTGGGCCAGTGGCGCTTGCACCGGTAGTCGTCGCAGGCGCAGTTCTCTGGGCCCTCGCACTTCGAGATGGGCTCGCCCACTATCCAGATGTAGCCCGCCCCCTTCGGGATGCGGAAATCGGGGTGCATGGGTGCCATGAGGTCCTCGTGGAGCAGCACGAGGCGGTACCCGTCCTCCCGCTTGCTGAACAGGTCGCTGGCGAACTCGTAGTCCATGGGGTAGGCGATGCCACAGATGTCGTCGGCCTGGTGCTCGGGGACCCTGCGGAGGCCGAGGGCGTTGATGCCCACCGAGCCGTGCCGGTAGTTCCAGCACCGCTGGAATCCCGCCTCCTTCTTTACCCAGTACGGGAGGAACAGCTTCCGCTGCCGCGCGCTCAGGCCAGCGGGCGGCGAGTCGGGGCTCATGAGGCTGCCGTAGCCGAACACCCAGACCTCCCGGTTGTGCGAGAAGTTGTAGGGCTCCGAGAGCAGCCGGACCACCTCCTCCCGGTACGTGGGGTGCCAGCGCAGGAACTTCTCGTCGGCGTCGTGCTGCTCCCACGGCTTCAGGGAGACGTGCGCGCCGGCGTGGTTCATCATCTGGTTGCGCTCGTGCCACGTGGGGAACACGGTGCCCTGGAATATCGCGGGCAGCCGCCTCTCGGGCCCCCCCGGCTTCTCGGGCCGGACGATGTCGAGGGTGTCCGTGGACTTGCCCACGGACTCGCGCTTCCGCCGCCACGTGGCGATCCACTCGTCGAGGTCCTCCTGCGACACGGGCGCGGCGGCAGCACGCCGCGCCCACACCCTGCCGCGGAGCTCGCCGCGGCTGTTGAGCAGAGGCCCGTAGAGCTCGCTGAGCTTCACGTGCTTCTGGAACTCGCCATTGACCAGCCCAAAGAGCACGTTCACTGCGGTGCCGAGAGGCTGGAGGAAGCTGTTGTAGGAGGCCCAAAAGGACGCCTTCATCGCCCACAGGAAGGGCGTCTTCAGGTGGCACCCTCGCTCTGCCTCGTGGAGCGCGAAGAAGAGGGCACCCACGCCCTCCCAGAGGTAAGAAATGTAAACACAAAGGTAAAGGTACCATAAGACGTAATCCACGGCGCCGTCCACCTGTGTCATGTCATCATCAGTCATCAGCCATCAGTCATCATCATCATCAACATCATCATCGTCAGCATCATAATCATCATCACCACCACCACCATCGCCACAACCATTGTTAACATCACCATCACTACCATATTCAGAAATGCCTTGTTACCAACTCCATCAATATCGTCGCCATCGTCGTCGCCACACCCGCCGTCACCACCATCACTTGTCACCACCACAACAATCATCATACTAATCACCATCATCGTCATCGTCATCGTCATCATCATCCTCATCATCATCCTCATCCTCATCCTCATCATGATCATCGTCATCATTATCATCATCCTCATCCTCATCCTCATCCTCATCATCACTGCCACCACCATCACCATCAGCATCATCGCTATCGTCATCGCCATCATGGTGGCCATCGTCATTGTGATCGCCATCACCGTCACTGTTACCATCATCGTCATCATCATCATCATCACACACATCACCGTCGCAGTCATCAACGTGGCCATCATCATCGTGGTCATCGTCGACGTCATCATCATCATCAGCTTCATCATCATCGTAATCATCATCATAATCATCATCATCCTCACCCTCATCCTCATCCTCATCATAATCATCATTATCATCGCCACCACCACTATTGCCATCATCAGCATCAGCATCAGCGTGAGCATCAGCACCATCATCATCATCGTCATCATCATCATCACCATCAACCTCATCATCACCAGCTTCATCATCATCGTCATCAGCATCATCATCATCATCATCAGCCACATCAACATCATCATGTCCATTACCATCAACGTCGTCGCCGTCGTCATCATCGTCATCATCGTCATCACTGTCACCACCACCATCAGCATCACATTCACCACCCTGTCCACCACCATCGTCTTCATCACTATGATCATCATCACCACCACCAGCATCACCATCACCATCACACCATCATCACCAGCATCATCATCGCCGTCGTCAGCGTCATCGCCACCGTCATCGTCATCAATATCATCACCATTACCATCACCATCATACTCAACAGCTTCATTATGATAATCGTCATCATCATCATCATCATCATCATCATCATCATCATCATCATCATCATCATCATCATCATCATCGTCATCATCATCATCATCATCGACGTCGTCGTCATCGTCATCGCCACCGTCATCATCATCATCATCATCAGCATCATCATCATCATCATCGTCATCATCATCATCAGCATCGTCATCACCATCATCAGCATCATCATCAGCATCATCATCAGCATCATCATCATCACCATCACCATCACCATCATCATCAACACCATCGTCATCATCGTCATCACCATCATCATCATACCCACCACCATCGTCATTATTATGATCATCATCATTACCATCAGCATCAGCATCATCATCATCATCATCATCATCATCACCATCACCATTACCATCATCATCACCATCACCATCACCATTACCATCATCATCATCATCATCATCATCATCATCACCATCACCATCACCATTATCACCATCACCATCACCATCACCACCATCATCGTCGTCGTCACCATTCGTAACCATCTGCCTCGGGGTGCCGCGCGACGGCGCGCACCTGAGCGGCGACGCCCTGCCCGTCGGGGCCTACCTCTCGACGCGCGCGCGATGGCTGGTGCGTCGCCCGGCGCGCTGGGCCTGCTCGCCGACGGGACGAGCAAAGCGGCGCGGGGGGGGGATCGCGGGCCGCGCGCGACGAGGCGCGGCGGCAGCTGCAGTGGCGCCCGCCGCCCGCGCGTGCCAGGAGGAGCTGCCGCCGCTGGCGGCGCCCGCGCAGGAAGGGGCTGCCTCGCGACCACGGCCCCCGCTGCACTGCGGCCCCGCGGTGCAGCGGCCACGGGTGTCGGGGCCCGCGCCTCGCTGCGCACAAGAGGGGCGGCAGCCCCGGCGGCCGCGCCGCGCCGGCCGCACGCGCGCAGAAAGCGCCGCCCCCCGCGCCCGCGCGGCAAGAGGGCGGCAGCGGCAGAAGCGGCAGCGGCAGCAGCAGCAGCAGCAGCAGCAGCAGCAGACCGTCGCGCAGCGCAGCGTGCGCGGTGCGCGCGCGGCGGCTTTTGGTCCTCGCGCGGAGCAGCGGGGACCGACGCCGCGGCGCACCCGGGGCCTCGTTCTCGCCAAGGCGGCCGCGGCATCGGGCTGGTGGCTGCGGAGCAGCGAGGCCTCGCCCGGCAGGCTTGGCGGGCGGCGGCATCCGCGCCGCAGCTGCAGCGCCGGCCAGGAAATCGGTGCTGTCTACCACAAACATCAGGGCCCGACTCTGTTGCATGCGAACACTCATACAGTCGGCCTTGGTTCGACAGGGCACCAGAGAGGACACACAAAACTCTTCCGACGGCCACGTGGCCGCAGAACACCACAGTGCATACGGACTGCGTAGGTCGGGGTAGACAAGACACAAAGGTACCCTAGATTTGGCATGGTCGACCTCCCAATCAGGGCCGACTGTACTGTGAACGGCTTTATGCTTACTCGTACTTCCCAAGCCGGGAAATGGTGAATGTCTTGCAGACGACTCAACCGAATCCAGGCAAGGTGCTGAGAGTCCTCCTGCTCCTCCTCGTTCTCCTTCTCCCTCCTGCCTCCCTCCACCCTCCGCCGCCGCCTCCCTCCTTCTCCTCCGTATCCCGTCTCCTTGCTGCTCCCTCTTCCCTGCTCCTCCCCCGTCACCCCGCACCCCACCGGCGGCCAGCTCTGGCCGCGCTCCCGCCCGCCTTGCCGCCACCACCCAAACGAAGCCGCCGAGGCTCCCGCGGCGATCCGCCGCACCCCATCGCGAGCCGCGCTCATCCTCAGCTCATTACACTCCCTTTATGTCATGTGGTGGTGGGTCCTCGTTTTGAGGAGACGGCGCCGCGCTCCACCGCACCTTCCTTCCTCCTCCCCCTCCTCCCTCCCGCATGCCTCCGCACGGCGCCGCCGCACCACTTTCGGCGCACCCCTCACGCGCTCCGTGGCCCCACAGGGTGCCCCACCGAAGGCCAGTGGCAGGGCCCGCAACCCATCCCCAATTCGGCACGCCCCTCACACGTCTCGTGGCCCAGCAGGGAGCTACAGCGCAGCTGATGGACCACCCTGGGCCTCAAAACAAAACGCAACCCGAGCAGCGTTCAGAGGAACAAAACTGCTCAGGGACCAACTGTCCGAGCGTCCGTTCAGCGCTCTGTCGAACACAGAATTGACCGATCAAGGCACCGAACCGAACACCGAGCGCCCGAACAAACGAACGCCGAACCGCACTTGGTGCAGCCCTGCTCAGAAACTTCCGAAGCCTTCCGAACGCTTCCTGAAGTGCCCTACCCTTTGGACGCCTGCTGGAGAAGCTGCGCCGACCAGCGCGCGCCGAGCTGCGGAGCGCGTGCGCCACTCGGGCGCGCTGGCGGGTGTCGAGGGCCGCAGGCGCAGAACCAGCGAAACGACTCAGATGTGTGTTGGGAGGCGGGCACTCTGGGTCGTCATCCCCCAAGCATCATCATAACCGCAGCCACGATCACGATCACTATCACCATCAGCGCCAGCATCATCACCATCAGCATCACCATCACCGTCACCATCACAATCACCATCATCATCCCCATCACCATCACCATCACCATCACCATCACCATCACCATCACCATCATCATCATCATCATCATCATCATCAGCAGCAGCAGCAGCAGCAGCATCAGCATCACCAGCATCATCACCATCATCGCCGTCCACCTTTACTGGCAGACCCTGCACGGCGACGTAGTAGTACGGCACGAACGAGTTGACCAGGCCACGGAAGGCCCAGAGCACGCGTTGACGTTTGCTGGGCACGGTGACGAGCGGCCACCTGTCATTGCCAATTGTGATTGTTGAAATCGTCATGTGGATATATAAATATATGTATAAATATAAATGGATACACACCTACCCCGGATGGCAACGATGACTCATAACCATTTCTGCTGCTTCGCATTCTGACCATGGCGGGCTTCGACGATGGTTGCTTGAATCTGCGCTTGCGATTCCGATTCTGGTTATGATCACGCTTGCGACTATACTGTGGAGGTGATCAGGACTGCGCTTGAGCATGACTCACCAAGACATGGGCCTTATGGGCTCTCGCGACGTTGCCGCCCGCGGGCGCCTCGTGGGCGCCTCGTGCGCAGGCTCGGAATCAGGGAGCCTCGCGCCCCTCTGCCGCCCGCGTGCGCCCGCGGGGGCCTCGTACCCTGGCTGGGAGTTCTTCGCTTTCCGCCCGCCGCAACCTGTGGGCGCCTTGCTGGCTGCTCGTGCGCCAGGTTTCGCCCCTTCGCCGCCCGTGAGGGGGTGCATCACGGGCGCAGCATAGCTTGCACCACACAGGCTACACCGCGCAGCTTGCACCACATAGGCTACACCGTATAGCTTGTACCGAATAGCTTGCGCCATACATCTTGCACCAAATAATGCGTACCATATAGTGTGCTTCACTTTGAGTGCCAACCCACGCCTTACACCACAAGGCTTACACCACATCAGTTACACCGCGAATGTTTCACCACATAGCTGGTACCATAAAGCTTACACCGTATGGCTTGCAACACATAGCTCACACCGCATATATTCTCCTTTCTAAAAGAAGAATAGGCTCCCCCCCGGAGTTAACGGGTCACCTTTTCGTATAGCAATGTAATCATGGTTCTGCCCCATCGTCCATCCTAAAAATGAATTCGTACTATCTGGTATCACTCCACCACGCCATCCTCTGCAAAACATACTATGCGCGCACACTCGTTGATCAAACATCACACGTTCCCAAGAATCCCTTGCAAGAAATGGGACGAAATGCGCACGCGCGCGCCGTCGCGCGCGCATGCCGAAATCCTTCAAAACCTTCGGTTTCGGAAAAAATCCCAAATCGAGTTCCCAAATAGCATACAAAAACACAAGGTTTCGCAACACTGATGCTCTAAAAAAGCTTACGCGCGCGCTCTTGCGAAACCTTGCGAACACCACAGGTTTTGCTAGATTTTCAAAACAATACAACCAAACTTGCTTCGCGCGCGCGCATGTCGAAATCTTTCGAACGCCCTTGCGCGCGTGCCGTCGCGAATCCTCAGCGAAAAACGGGACGAAGTGCAGACGCGCACGTCGTCGCGCGCATGCCGAAATCCTTCAAAAACCTCCGGCTGCTGAGGGATTTCGAAATCGTGCGTCCCAAGAAAAACATACAACAACACAAGGTTTCACAACACGGATATTAAACAAAAGCATACGCGCGCGCTCTTGCGTCGTCGTCGTCATCGCCGTCCTCCCTCCTTCCCGTCGTCGTCATCGTCCTCTGTTTTTCCTCGTCGTCGTCGTCGTCGTCTTGGCGTCGTCGTCGTTTCCGTCGTCGTTGTCGCCGTGGTCGTCCTTCCTCCCTCGTCGTCTTCGTCGGCATTTCGTCGTTGTCCCTCCTGTTTCGTCGCCGTCGTCGTCGTCGTCGTCTTCCCTCTTCCCTCGTCGTTGTCGTCGTCGCCGTCGTCGTCCTCCCTCCTCCCTCGTCGTCGTCGTCTTCGTTGGCAACGTCGTCGTCGTCGTCGTCTTCGTCGTCGCCGTCGTCGTCGTCGCCGTCGTCGTCAGCGTCGGCGTCGTCGTCGTCGTCGGCGGCGTTGTCGTCGTCGTCGGCGTTGTCATTGTCGTCGTCGTCAGCGTCGGCGTCGTCGTCGTCGTCGGTGCTGTCGTCGTCGTTGTCGTCGTCGAAGTCGTTGGAGAGTCGCCCGCAACGTCTACCGTTGTCGACGTTGCCATGATACCGCGCCCACCCAAGTCGCCGACTCGCAATGAAATGCCCGCTGGTATGTGCCCAACGATCAGCGCCACCGCGGCCGCGTCGGTCGCGCCAAACCAGCTGGCCGCTGCGCGCACGTGCTTGGGTTGGCGCGACCGCAGAGACGCACCAGCCAACGCCGAGCATGCATCGCAATCGCCACCTTACGGGTTTTGCAAAGCAAGTTGCGGGTGGGTGGGTGGGATGTTTGCAAGAGCGCGGGATGTGTCAACTCGTTTGTTAAAATCAATTACACCACGTAGTTTGCACCACATGGCTTGCACCGCGCGGATCACAGCACAGAACTTGCACCACGTAAATTGCACCATGTAGCTTTCACCACGTAGGTTGCGCATTGTAGATTGCACCATATCGCCTACACATCGAGATTGCAGTACGTCGCTGCTGGCAAACATCTTGTTACGGTTCAGAGCATGGTATGGGTTGTTGCATTGATATTGTCGTTGGTACCGGTGTGAGTGGGAATTCACGTCAGCTTCCCAACTCTGTCTTATACATGACCGCCACATGCGAAAACATGTGATAGATCACGGGTGCCGCTATGATTACCGCCATGGATCTAGAGCTCTAGAGGACAGCCTCGGACGGCCCAAAGGGGCGCCAGGGGAGCTCCCAGAGCGGCCCCGCAGCTCCAAAAACTTACCACATTTAACGCCCTCCTTGACGAGGAAGCGTTTTGTATTACATGTGTGTTACGTGTGGGGCCCTCCTGGAGCGCCCTCTTGGGGACCTCTTGGGCCGTTTTTTGGGGGCGGTCTTTGTTGGGGGCCTCTTGAGATATCGTAGAGCGCCGGAAATGAAAAGCCGTATCTTCGAAACACACATAATAACCTAAGGGACATCGATGGTTTTTGCCTCTTGCAGCCATCTGAGGAGCGCTCATCGAGTCCTCTTGGACCGTCTGGGGGCATCTTAGGACGGCAGGCTCGAATTATCACACTTCGGACTCCTGCGCTCAGGCCCCTCTTGGGACTGTCTTGGGGCGTCTTGGGCCTCTCTAAGGCCGCTTGGGGCCCCCTTGTGCCGTCTTTCGAGGCGGTCTTGGGGGCCTCTTGGGACTTCGTGGAGCGCCTGAAGCTGGAAAAGTCGAGAACCCTGAAAACATTGAAAAACCTTGGGAACGCTCGTCGAGTCCTCTTGGGCCGTCTGGTGGCATCTTGGGACGGAGGGCTAGAAATGTCCTTTCGGGCTCTTGCTCTTGGGCCCCTCTTGGGGCCGTCTTGGGGCCCTCTTGGGCCATCTTAGGCCCGTCTTAGGCCGTCTTGGGACCCTCGTGGCCCGTCTTGGGGACCTCCTGGGGATCTCTTGGGCCGTCTCGGGGCGGTCAGAGGGGACTCTTAAGACGTCGTGGAGCGCCAGAGGCTCGAAAAGTCGAGGCCTTCGAAAACACATCACTGCCTAAGGAACATCCCTGGTGTTTACCTCTTCGGGCCCTCTGGGGAGCGCTCGTCGAGTCCCCTTCGGCCATCTGGGGGCATCTTGGGAGGGTTTTCGGGCTCCTGCTCGGCCCCTGTTGGGGCCGTCTTGGGGCCCTCTGGGGCCGTCTTGGGCCCCCCTTTTGGCCGTCTTGGGATCCCCTTGGCCCGTCTTGGGGCCCTCTTTGGGGGGTTCTTAGGCGGTCTTTGGGCGGTCTTGGGGGCCCTTTGGGACGTCGTGGAGCGTCAGAAGCTCGAAAGTCGGAAAACATTGAAACAACAGAGGAGCATCCACATTTTTTGCCTCTTGGGGCCCTCTGGGGAACGCGCGTCGAAAACTCCTGGACCGTGTTGAAGCTGTCTGGGGCCGTCCGGAAGCCACGCAGGACATCTGGAAGATTTTGTGTTTTGTGACGCCACTTAAGGCCGTCTGGGCGGCTTTCGGGCCGCTACGGAGGGTCCCCGGGGAGCCCGGCGCCCCCATGGCGACCAGGGGTAGATCGGAGAAGGCCCCCGACCCTATACCCCGATATATTTATATACAAATATACACACATACATACACACATACATACATACATACATACATACATACATACATACATACATGCATGCATGCATGCATGCATGCATGCATGCATGCATACGTACGTACGTACGTACGTACGTACGTACGTACATACATACATACATACATACATACAAACATACATACATACATACATACATGGATGCATGCATGCATGCATGCATGCATACATACTAACATGCATGCATGTGTGTGTGTCGTACAGCCTATGCGATGCCATCTGTGTGGCGCAATGTCTACGATGCACAACTCATGATGTGCTACTGTTGTTGACCGCATCGGACGTGGCACCCACCCGCAACTGTTGGGGAAAACCCAACTCGGTGGCGACCACGAAGATGCCGATGACGACGGTGATGTTCATGGCGACGGTGCGGACAATGTCGACGACGACGACGACGATAGTGATTGATGAAGTTGTTGGTGATGATCGCGATTGTGGCAACGATGACGCTGGCAATAATGATGACGATGTTGCTGTGAGGATGGTGAGGAAGTGCGCGCGCAGAAATCTGACGAGGGCGACGGCATCAACGATAACAATGACGACGAAGGTGGTGATGGTGATGACTATGGTGACGATGGCGATGGCAATGACGAAGACGATAACGACTGTGCGATGAGGGCCCTGAGGAAGCGCGCGCCCGCTGAGATCCCGATGCTCTGTCATAGGTTACTGAGGAACACAAATGGTTATCGTAGGCTTTTGAACACATCCGTGTTGAACTGCATCGAACTCCATCCAGGCAAGAATCGTGACGTGCGCGCATGGAGTCGCGGCGCGCGCGCGTGTGGCCCCCATGGCATTCTCTGGTAAGGACGGAGGGCCTGCAGTGGTTGTCGAACGTGCTCGCCGTGCGCGCGCGTTTGCCGCACGGACTCATGGGACAGAATGCTAGAAACGGCTGTTTTTTGTCATGATTTCTGCGAATGCGCTCGCGCAAAATTCTGGCGACTCGATTATCTGAAAAGAGAACGGCTTCTGCTAGTGGTTGAACCGCTATGGTTTCAAAATGAATTGGAAACCATGC